CGCCGTATGCGCCGGCAATCAGGATTAATCGGAATCTAATCGATCCGATTCAATCGGACCCCTTTGGGGCAATTTGACAGTCGGTCCACGTGGCCGCAAGACAGAACGAGGGAACTATCGAAGAGACCTCGGATCCTTCCTCTGGATTCCAGGATTTAGGGGCAAGGGGCGATAGATCGATAGGATCGATCGAGTCACAGCTTCCGGGACACCCTCCTGGGCATGACGTACCGCCAGCGGAATCTCTCCGCAGCGGGGACGTACCCAGGACTGGAGCTGCCCTTGCGTTTCTCGTAGACCAGGTTATCGGATGCCTTCCTGGACAGGATCTCCGTGGCAGGGATGTCGGATAAAGGGGTCCTGGAACCGGGAAAATGCGAATGAGGGTTCAGGTGCAGGTGCAGGTGCAACGGCTGACGACCGAGCCGCATAGGACAGCTCCTGACGGTCGCCACGTGGTCGCGTTCCGTCTGCGTCGCGACGTCCACTCGCCTCGAATCAAGAAATCGCGTCAATAGAGTCACTCTGTAAAAAATTGTTTACGACATTTCCTATAGTTTTCTTTTTTTTTTTTTAACCGAGGGGACTCACGCGGAGGTGGAAGGACTCTTCGGCGCGGACGCGGCATCGACCATGACGCGCGGCTCCTTCGGTCCAAAAGGAAGTCCTTTTTCGCCCTCGTCCGAATTCTTAAGGACCTCTCGACGATCCTTCTCGAGGTTCGACCTCGATGATCCTTTGGTGCCTTCAATTTTGATGACCTCGGCGGACATGCGAGCCGCGACGTCCTGCACAACGTCTCGCAGGACCTCCTGGACGACCTCCGGCACCCCGTGACAGGACTTTCGGAATGCGGTAGAATTTTAAGGAGGTTGAGAACAGTCAGGGAAATTTCGGAGATAGAAACTGATATCGGGATAACGTGGAGGAAAACAATTACCGAGTCCTGCCGATTGCAGGACGCAGTAGTCGACCTTTCGCGCCTCTTCGCCAACTCGCTGGCGACCAGTTGGCGAATCGTCCTGTCGAGGTCCTCCTCCTGGACCCCTCGATTCCTGGGAATTTTCCCGAGATTTTCACGGCATCCTCTGACTTATCATCTGAGTGTTAAGGACTCACCTCTGGTCTCGCATCGGGGGAACGCCTTCGGGGCGGGTCTCCCCCATCGCGAGCTGAATCCTGGAAAACAGGGAGGTCTCGATTTAATCCCCATTTTTTTTGCGCCAATCCTGGTCGCCAGGAGAGCTCGTCAAATTGGGGAATTTTCCCCAACCGGGGGAAAACAGGACTCAGGGGTCGGGGTTTCCGGCTCGTCGATCATCCCTTGGAGAGTGAAACGTCGAGCGGGAGTTTGGACATTTTTCGAGGGTGGGCTTGTTTTCGGGCATTCGTCCCGAAATTTGCCTACTCGGTCACGCGGGGAGGACTCTTCTCGGTCCCGCGGGTGTCGTCCACCTGCAGGTTCCTCCGTCGCCAACGAAGGGGGACCAGGTACATGAGGTCCCTCTGCAGGATCTCCAGGAGGAAGTAGACGATGATTAACAGGTAGATCACGACGTACACCGCGTCCAATGAAGTCCCCATGCCGGAGGTGGTCCTACCGCTTCATGGTAGAACGGAGAACCCTGTCTTCGAGGTTGGCATAAACGCGCCTCGCTTTTGTCTCCTGGACAAGTGCCATCGCGAGGCTCGTCATCTCAGGTGCGACGACGTACCCTCGTACAAATTTGGTAATCTTTCCTCATCCTTTAATTTTGATCCAGCGAAAAATCGTATTAATTACGACATGACCCACGTACGTAGGAGATTGCCCGCCAGGATCGCCCCTCGCCCCCCTCGCCCTGAAATGCTCGATAACGTGCTATCAGCGGCCAATGTCGTTGCAGGCACGACGGAGGGCGACGCGGTGCAGGCGCTCCTCGCGCGTTACCTTCAGCGCCGTCTTCAGGGTCTCCAGGGTGGCCGGCTGTCGACGCCGCCCCCGGCCTCGGTGCTCTTCGGGGCCCGCTACGGGCCCCGCTACGACCCCCACTTCGGGCCCCGACCCCTGCAAGGCAGGCGACGCGGCAGGACCGACGAGGAGGACGATTACGAGGACTACGACGACGACCTACGCGGCTTCGAGGACAGCGCCAGGGGCAGGACGAGCTTCGATCTGCTCGCCGGTAAACCTCGCAGGACCTCTCGGTCTCCTCGGGATTTCTGACCCCTGCGAAATTAGCACAGGTGCATGCACCTGCTCGCAATTGCACCGATGCACATAGCAATTCACCGGTTCCCCTGTATCGATTCAGCTGCACCCCCGCAGGAAATCATTTGGATTCATCAATAAAAATTCCGCTTGGCAATTAATATTTAAACATCGCCGACCACGCAAAATGTTACTTTGCCGGCTAAAGTATTTTTTTTTTTAATTAATCGGATACAGCGGGGTTGTTGAGTTTGTTGATAATTCGATTTTTTCTTTCCACGCGGGTGAATGCAGCGGGCTTCTTGTGTATGTCGATGCATTTCGTTGGAATATCGACGCACCTGTTCGCTGCCATTCCGTCCACCTCCACCCGGGCCGACCCGGACCACCCGCTATGGGCCATTTCGCTCCTCTCCGGACTTAATTAGAGTTCTTGCGTAAATACGGTGCTTCGCGGTAACGCGGCCCTCGTCAAGCTTTTACGCCCTCCATCTTGGAAGGGGCGACTTCCGGGGGAACGACGAGTCCTTCCGGCCGAAGGATCCTGCGAGTGGATGGCGCCCCGGTTAACCGAGAATCCTGCCGAATGCCGCCATTCGCTCGATCGCGGGAGGCCTCTTCATCGTCCAAAGGACTCCCAAGAATTCGTCCTGTCCCCTCGCCAGGACGATCTTCGATTGACGTCCCCCGGCCTATTTGCGGCGAGGTAAATTTACAGGCAACCTCTGTAAATTTACCTTGCTAATGACGCGGTTAATCGCGTGGTAAAGGTCAGGGCCGACCCATCGCCATTAGCGAGATCCACTTTACGACCAGTGGTCCCCTTCTCGACCTCCTCGGAGGCTGAGCGATCCTCTGGACCGAACAAAGAAGCGGTCGGAAAATGCCCTTCCAGGACGTTTCCCCCAGAAAGGCGCAGGAAAGAAAAAAACGTCGACCTCGACGTCCGCTTCTGGTACCTCTAGACTATACGCAGTCTCGACCTGACCTTCTCAATTCTTTTTCTCCCGCCTCTTTCCTTCCGCCTTTTACCGGATAGATCGAGATCATTCGGGGCAACGAGAGCGATAAATCGTCCGGGGGGCATTTTTGATCCTGGATCCGAAGGACGCCTTTCGATGTCCTTCCGGCGCGGCCTTGACCCAGGTCCAGGACAATAGGAGAGCGATTCGGATTCGCTGTATCCCGGGTAGAAATGGAATCGGGAATACTCTTGCGGGACACCGAGGTCCTTTATCCCCGGGACCAGCTAATGGCCCGGGGTTATTATATACTCGTCGAGGAAACGTAGCGTGAATCCTTTCAGGGCGCTCGCCACTTCCCCAGAACTTGGAGAGCTGCGCTCGCCCGATAAGGTTCCTCCAAGTCGGGGCTGAAATTTACTAAGAGAGAGGAGCCGGAAGAAGGAGACGGCGGAGACCTGGAATTCTCGACGCGATCGCTTCCGTCTGCAGGCGGACTCGTCCCGGAAACGCGACCGTCTCGAGGCGGCCTCGCCGTTCCGCTCCTCCGGAAGGATCGGCCCAGCTTCCGGACGCGCGTCTTGGAATCGCGGAATTATCGCAATTATCTCGCCGGTCGGGCAATTCGGGACGGTCGTTAAGCGAGCCCGACCGGAAACGTCGACGAGGGAGGAAGAGGAGTCGATGGCTTTCCGTGTCCCCCGCGCCGTTTTCGACGTTAATCGCCGCGGAATTATCGGCCGCCTGGAAAGCGTTATCGCGCGGCCGCGCCCTGAGAGTTTCTCCTACCGAGCAGGTTTTTCGAGATCCTCGTTTTACGGAGCATCTTCTTGTGTACCTTTCTTTCTTTTCACTCCGAATTTTTCTTTCTCCATCTTCGCTCCGAAGACGTTTTTCTTTGATTTTCGGGACGACGCGAGAACGAAGGGCATCCTCCAAATTCAATTTTCATCGATTTTTCCCGGATAAGAATTTTTATTTTCGATTTTTCCTAGACAAAGATTATTTCTTTTTTTTTTTGGAAATGAAAGGTGAGCAAAAGTCCGACCTCCGCCGATTCGGCGGGTGTGAAGGTCGGACCTCGTAGGGTCTTTCGCCACCGCTGGGTCTCTCGAGGTCGGCCCGAGGTCCTAGGTCCCTCCCACTTCAGCCTCCACCTCGAAGAAGATCGGTTCCAGCGGTATCATCGGTTGCGACAGCCCGGCTCGACCAGAGGAATCTCTACTTTCATTTTCTTCTGGCGGATCTCCCCTTCCCGCCGGAGGCCGAAGACGCTTCCTCGTCGGGATCCTTTCTCAGGATTCGGCGCTTCTGGGAATCCTGGAAAGGACCTCGAACCTGGCTCCCGAGTTCTTTTCTCTTTTCGGACGAGAATCGGACCCCGAGTACTTCTTCCTTTTTCCATTTTACTTGCCGCCGGAGACGAAGACGTCGATCCGCTTCCTTTCCCAGAGGACCCCCTCCTGGAAGCCGAGGAGTCCTCGGGGAGGGATGACTTCGACGTGCCGCGTCGCATTCCGCGCATTTCGAGCCGCTTGGCGCCTCGTGAAACGACCTCCTAGGCGGTGATCGGTTTATCGGCGACAAGGTCCTTCTTTGCGTCCTTTCGAGGAGAGGGGCTAGAGAAAAGGCATTAACGCTCCGTTAGGCTCTGTCGGTGGGTCTCTTCGGGTCATCCAGAGAAGCCGGTTTCTCGTCTCTCTCGCCTCGTCCAGGTGAAGGTCGGCCGGTGTGGAATCCGATTGAAAAGCGAACGTCGTCGCGTCGCGCGCTCAGTCGATCGCTCTCGCGCGAGCCCGGGCCAAGTCGATCGGTCGGGATCCCAAAGAGGAGAGAAGTCGCGAGCCATGAGAGGGGCGCTCCTCGTCGCGCTGGTCCCCCTTATCATGGTCGCCGAGGCCATCCCTGGCAGGCTGAGCGGTAGGCATCATTTTCTACATCGGCATTCATCTCCCAATTTTTCCTGATTTTCCTGAAGTCATTTTCACGGTCGCCAAGGCCATCCCTGGCAAGCTGAGCGGTAGGCATCGTTTTCTACATCGGCATTCATCTCCCGATTTCTCCTGATTTTCCTGAAGTCATTTTCACGGTCGCCAAGGCCATCCCTGGCAGGCTGAGCGGTAGGGGTCGTTTTCTACATCGGCATTCATCTCCCGATTTTTCTTGATTTTCCTGAAGTCATTTTCACGGTCGTCAAGGCCATCCCTGGCAGGCTGCGCGGTAGGGGTCGTTTTCTACGTCGGCATTCATCTCCCGATTTTTCCTGATTTTCCTGAAGTCATTTTCACGGTCGTCAAGGCCATCCCTGGCAGGCTGAGCGGTAGGGGTCGTTTTCTACATCGGCATTCATCTCCCGATTTTTCCTGATTTTTCTGAAGTCATTTTCACAGTCGCCAAGGTCGATCTTGGTAGGCGTCGTTTTCCGATTATCTGCCCTCCACCAAATTTTTCCTCAAATGCTTTTCTCCGCGATCATTGAAGTCGTCTCCAGCAGACTGAGCGATAACGTCATTTTCTACTCGCTTGCGTTCTCCCCTTAAAATGGGGAAAAAAAATAGCCAGTCTTCCCTACCCCTCGAAATCACCCGAGTCCTCCAGGATTTAATTGGCCCGCCCTTGGACCGGGGAGGAAAAATCACGACGGCATCTCGAGGTCGAGGTTCTCTTCTTTCTTTCCGTGGATCGTTAACGACGAGCAATTATCGGAGTCGCGGCGATACGCGGGTCAGGATCTCTCCCATCCCCGGGTAATTCGTGCCCCGATTGTGTTCCAAACGACCTCGAAAAGGGGTGCCTCTTTCCCTCCGGAGGGTGCGAGACGAGCCTCGACCAGGTCGTCTCGCGACGGAGCAGGGAACGTATCGTCGCGGCTCCGCTCTCTGGGGAAGCCATTACCGGGAGTTATTGCACCCTCGGGGGTAGTTCCGGGAGACTATTTTATTTACGAATTATGCCGAAATCTGGAACGCAGGGCGCGAGGCGCCGTCCTCGCCGCGACGCGGTTGTACTCGGTGGCTAGCCCGAAGAGAACCTCGAAGAGCATCTCGAGGAGGCTCCTGAAACCACCTCGGACCTATCCAGGGCCCGAAAAGGACAAGAAAATGAATGTCGACACCCTGGGCCCAAAAAACCACGACGGCCTCGAGTCGACGCCGTCGGGCCGGCTTTCGTAACTTCTCCTGGAGGTGACGTCGATCGCGAAAGTGTGCGGTGAAAGTCGATCGAAGATCAAGGTCCCCCCAGAGATCCGCCGGAGCGGAATCTCCGAATCCCACATTGGAACCCGCCTTCGGGAATTTCCTCCACCCGGGGATTCCGCAAGGGAATCCTCTCTTCGGGACGACGCCGAAGAACGCTGGTCCGCCTCTCCTGAATTCCCATTCGGTCGGTCGAAAGGATCCCCCGAATTCCGCGCGCGGTCGTTCGTCCGCAATTCCGCGTCATTCCGCGCATTCCGCCTCCGCGTGCGTTGCGTGACCGCGAAGGAATCCCGCGGCCGCGGTTCCGCTCTCTCTTTCGCGCTGATCCATCTCGAGCGGCCGAGTGCCCGAGTTCTCTGGTCCCCGTCCTCGAGTCCTGTCCCCTCTCTCCCAGGGTGCCCCCCAGGGGGGCCCCAAGAATGGAAGGCGTGCCAGACGATGTCCCAACCTTCCCCGACAGAGATTACGATACTGTTCCATTTTCCCGCGTCGCGGAAAAACACTAAAGCGGAGAAATTTCGAAATACGCGTTGTTAAAAGTACCCGAAAAAATTCTTAGGCTCCTATCACCCGAGATTATTCCGATATTATCAATCTGACGTCTTAACGCCGATCTGAGCCACGTTACAAACTTGGATAAAACATGATTATTTAATTTGCATGTGTTTGAAAAATTGTCAAATGAGGGATGATGGTGATATAAATATTTTTGGTAATTGTGTATGCGAATGACAGCACCTTTGGAATTATCCGATTGCCTATCAGGACCTTGATTAACTCGTTTCATCCGACGTTGACCTAGGTCATTTCCTGGCATCTCGCCCAGGAGCCGATTAGGCTCGCCGTCAAAGTCGAGCGCCCAGGATCGCGCTAAGCCGCTTCCGCGGATCCGCAATTCCGGCGCGTGCGGATTCCTCCGCAGTCGACGAGGTCACCAGAGGCGGCCCGGCTGCGTTTTAGACGCACCGCCGAGCCGGATTAAGCTTTGATTGTCGCATTAGTATGCATTGGCTCGTCCGCCGTTTGCGAAACGGCCGCAACGACCGTCTCGACCCATGGCGCGACCGAGGCTCTTCCTGCGGAATTCTTCCGCAGGCGCGGATCCTCCCCTGAATCCGACGCGCATTCTTTCAGATCACGCGGAATGGATCGGAAGGAAAGCGTAGAGGACTTTCGACGCACGCGTTGCGTCGTGCGGAAATCTTGCCGCACCTTTCTCCGGCGGAAAACGCACGCGGCTGGTGCCGCGAATCTATTCACTCGGTGATTTCATCGCGGAAGAAATCGCCCGGTCCGGTTTTCCGCGGACGTGATATCACGCACGCGGAATTCCGGGACGCTTTCCCATTGCGACTTGTCCGCGGTCCGGAAATCCCGCATGGCGTTATCGCCGAGCGGACGCGGACTTTCCGCGAAAGATTTCATTCTCTCCTCGGCTCTTTTCAACTTTATTCCTATTATTAGGAATAACCTAAGTTTCTTCTTACAAGCCAAACTTTATAGGTATTTTAGAAATAGTTAATAAAAAATGAAATTTCCCGAGTTTCAGGACCTACCTTAGGGTCTCCATATTCACATTTTAAAGTATGAAACGATTTGAGACGCCCAGTTCGTTGAATAGTTTTATGAACGATTCAGCTTTCGGATGGCACTTTCACATCCCCTTAATTAATTGATAACGAAATTCCAGGTGCACCGAGATCGGTGATATGACAATTTCTGGCGCAATCTCGGTGCATCCCGAGGAAACATCGAGAGCAGGCACCAAGAGAGCTCGACTCGCTCAAGGCTGCAGTTTCTCTTCGTAATCAAGGGGTCTAACCCTTTCCCGGGGCATACCTCGTGCATGACTCGCGTACTTAGCTCGTAACGCCTCGAAATGCGCATTCGGCGAGGCCGGCATATAAAAACGCGGCTGCAATTTCGAAATTGCCGGATAAATCGGGGATTTACGGGCACACTGGACGGCCGCAGCGTTGATCACGTAAATGGGCAGCTTCCGTAATTTAGTATTTAAGGCCGGATTATTATTTACAGTGCGTGTTATTAAAATCACTCGTTATTCCGGGCGGAGCTCGGAGGACGGCGAACGGGACGTCGGCTTGAACCCATTAAAGCCCGTTCGGTAAAGGGCCCTTCAATCGGAAAACACTCCCCGCCGTTCGGCTTGCCAAACACGCGGTAAATCGCGGCAATTACGCTAATTAACCCTGCGGAATGATTTTCGAAATAAACAGCCCTTTGCCGCCGCGCCGAGAAAATGGCGGCGCGCGTGCTCTCGCCCGGGAATTGATTAGCGAGAGGAGGCGCCATGGAGAAAGAAAATCGGTTTTCTGATTTTCTCCAATTTTCCACATTTTCTAGACGACTGCCCCAATTGCGTGGACGACCAGGCCAGCAGCATAGCGGCCTCGAGATGGACCATGCCCCTACTGAAGCTCGGGGAGAAGAGGTACTACCTCGGCATCTTCTTCAAGGTACTCCCTTCTTCGAGGCGCAATTTCTCTCCGGATTTTCTTTCCTGTTTCTTTTTTTTCTTCGATTTTCCTACCATTTTACCTAATTCGAAATCCTCGAGGAAATTCGAGGGGAGGGGTGGCGTGAAGGAACGAGGTTAAAAGTTTCCTCCCCGGTCGGGGATGATCTTATTAAAAGTTGGCCGCTTTATTATTCGCTCGACACGCCGCAGGGGAAGATCTTCAGGTCGACCTTCCACCTGGGGATTTTTCCCGACGTTCATTAATGAGATGGGGTCCCTAGGAATTGGGGATCTCTTCGGCATCTCGAGAGGTCGAGCTCCTACGCCGACGCGTCTTCGGGTGCTCGATCTCGAGGAGAAAGATCGAGGGATCTATCAAGGGATCTGCAATTGGCGCAATCCTCGATCGGGTCATTGCGCGGGGAAACAATGGAGGGAACTGTGGAATCACGGTGCAGCAGGTTCCCTCGCGAAAGGGGACCAGCTACGTCGTGGTCGAGCAGGTCGAGTTCCCGAAGAGAGATAAATTCCCTGAGAAATTTCCCAGGACCCTCGCGCTGGGAAGGAAACTTTTCAATATCCAGATCATTTTCTCCGCCCTGATAAGACGCGATAAAGAGGTCCTTCCCGTCCGCAGGCGAACTGGTACCGGGCGTCCCAGTACTGCAGGTACCACGGGATGCACCTGGCGAGCATCGCCTCGCAGGAGGAGAACGATCGGCTGGAGAAGCACATCAAGGACTTCGGGCTGGGCCACGAGCACTTCTGGACCTCTGGAACCGACCAGGCCGAGGAGGGCACCTTCTTCTGGATGGCGAACGGCCGGCCCATCACCTTTGAGAACTGGAACGTGGGAGAGCCCAACAACTTCCGGTACGTCTTCGAGCCCATTTCCTGAAGCTGAGACCCGTTAAAAAATTCTAATCTCTGATATTATAAATCCCAGGTACGAGAACGGCGAGGAGGAGCACTGCCTGGAGCTCTGGAACCGCGACGGAAAGGGCCTGAAGTGGAACGACAGTCCCTGCAGCTTCGAGACCTTCTTCGTCTGCGAGGTGCAGTGATTTCGGTGTCCTGGACTCTAAGGACCGACTCGTCGGCCGAAACTGGGACTTTGTGCGATTTTCGAGCCACCTCCCGGGGAGAAAGAACGTTCCTTCGGGAGAAGTCGAAGTGCCCCGGGGGTGATCGAAGTTGGACCTCCTAGAGGATGTCCTCTCGTATCGACCCTCGATAACTCGAAGGGTTGCGAGTGAATCGCTAGTCGCGTCACCCTCTTCCCTCTGCGTACTCACCAGCATGTAAAATAAACGTCTCGAGCCTTGGACCGTCGCCTCGAAGTTCCACCCCGTCTTCGGGATCCTCTTCGGGGGAGACCCAGCCATGGCGGATTTCGAAGCATTGGATCGATTTTCACCCCTTTCCCGGGCACATCGATTTATTCCGCCCCGGGAAATATGTCGGTACTTCTAATATGTTGGTTTTGCAATTAACTCGGAACACGCAGTCGCTAATTAATGGCGCGCCATTGCCGCGGTAAAATCGCTGGTCCAGAAATTTGAGCCTGGGGGGAGAGCAAACGAAATCCAGCCGAACGATCGTTACAGTAACTTGTCAACATTGTTGCTATGTTGCTTGCAAACTGTTTTCTCAATGATCACCCTTATAACTTATACTAATAAATGCAATAGCTAAGTTAAAAGCATCGGCACGTACTAAGTAAGACCAAGAATGATAAAAAAAAGAAATACTTCTCCTCCAGGAGGAGATAGGAATATTATAAAAATGACCAGTGAACGGTAGGGAGAGTAATTATCGATACCGGTAATTCCCTTACAAAACAACAGTGTTTTTATTCGAAACAACATACAAGTACGTGCCAAGAGCGCTCGTAAAAGCTTAGCGATCGGGTTCCTCGAGGAGGAAGAGGCGCGGGGCTCTCGATCGGCGATCGATCGCTCTATCGACTCGATCGACTTCTTCGGGACCGTGTAACTCGTCACGTGACGTTTTAAATTGAACGTCAAGAGGTACTCGAAGCTTCAACGCGTCCAGTTAATTCGTCCGTGGGGTTTCCTCAGGGGCGCGTACGTAGCGCGTCGAGGCGAAGACGAGTCGAGGAAAAGCGAGAAGAAATTTGAAAATTCTAGGGAAGAAAAAATTTCTTCGAGTTCTCAAGATATCGAGCAAAGTGGAGTCGACTGGATTTCCTCTCGACGCCCTCGAGTCGTCTCGATTAGGCTAACTCTAAGGCTAATTACGAAGGCGAGCACGGGACTAGGCCAGCTTATGTACAAGTACGCACGAGTACACATACACGGCGATATAACACATCTCTGGTATACACATACGTTTTTTAAATAGCTCCGACTGCATTAAGAAAACCGTGTCGCCTCCAGGGTGGACCTCGAACATCCAGAGAGACGGAAACGGAGGTCGTAGGTGCCGTGTCTTTCCATCGTTTCGATAAACTGCGGCCTAAGAGACAAGGGGTAGGTCGAAGTCGAAGGGTAGTTTCGTTTTAGGGGATTACCCGAGTCCGGTTTCCCTCGACTTGTCGCGAATATTAGCAGATTATCGGAAGTATTCCGCGATCGGCCAAGCTGCTCGAGAAAGGGTTAATCGGGGTAAGGGGGTGCAAATGGGCGCTAGGTTTATAAAAATCTCTCTTAAGACTTATCTTAGGGGTACCTAAGTGCTCGGACTAGAGGGGCGTACCCTGGATACGTATGCAGGTCGCGGGTGGACCTTGACCTCGAGAAATCGAAGACTATTGAATTAGCGACCGAACCGCGAGTTGAGTTTAAGTTAAAATTAACCGGGACCTCTGTGTCGATCCTTGGAAGAGCGGATAAAGTGTCCTCCGAAGAGTTTCGGCGGGTGTACGGCGAGCCCCGAGTCGATAACTCGGGGTTGGCAAGTCGGGGTGGTTTTGGGCGGTAAAGGGCGCGTGGAGAGCTTCTTTACCGACCGCCGCACCCCGCAAAAACTACAGTAGGGGTTGTACGTAAATTGGGGCGCCATTTACCAAACGACACCCCCCGGTTCGCTCTTGACAATCGTCAAGTCGGTCTGCGCAGGGAGGAAAATCCTCCTTTACGTTTCTCGAAATGTCTCATATCGCCCGACACAATGGCGACGACCTTACAAATCATTTCAATTAAATTCTCCCCCTCCCCGCGCGGGAATCCGCGAGTACAGTCTCCGACTCCTCGCTTAAAGAATCGAGAGCGAGCTTAACTATATAACGCTTTTTTCGTTTACCTTTAACAACAACATTAACAACATTTCATTCGCCTTAACAATATATTTAAAATCCGCGGTTAGGAAGTGGCTGTCGGAATCAGCTGATCGCTCGAGCGAGCGGAGTCCCCGGGGGGGCGAAGACCCCCCGGGTGCCCCCTTCGCGCGAGAATCGCCATCGGGGAGAGCAACCCTTACGGAACTTCGATTAAAAGGAAATCGGGGGTTGGGGTAAAAATATTGCACTCTAGCCCCAAGACAATGGTGCACCCCTTTCGGTTCCGCGCGGGTTCGCTCTATGTACAAGAAAGACCTCTCTCTGTCGTTCCTTAGAAGTCGTCGCAGACTTCGGACCTCGACTTAAAATGGAAAAAAAAATAGCTTGCGCTCGGTTTATCACGTAATTCTAGAAAATGGGGTTTCGCTTCTCTCGGTCCCTGTCGACGGAACTTTCGCTTAGGAGCGTGTTCCGTGGAACGAGTATCTTGAGCATGTTACGTCCTCGAAGTGGTTGCCTTTAGAATATGTTCCTCCACCCCGTGGTCGCGGTCCGGTGCGACCGGCGCGACTTTACTCCTAACGTTATCTGACACATATTTAAGTTTAATATTTATTTAATATGGTACACATCGATTTTATCCGAAAAGATTTATGGTAGCTTTCTTTTGTCCTCCCTGGCCCGGATTTCGAGCGCCGTCCGTGGTCCAGGTCGAGTGTCGTTCGCGGTCCCGCGACAAAATTGATTCCGTTGTCTATCTATTGCATTGTTAGTGCCTATCTAAGTGTACGTTTGTTCCTCGGGGTTTGGTTTTCGGTTTTGCGTTTGATTTTGATTTTGCCCTCCCCTAGAGGGGACGAGTCGGTACCGAGGGGATGATTCGCGCGACGAATCCGCTTCTCTGATTTCTCCGACGAGGAGGCGACGAGAGTCCTTCGACTAGGATCAGTGCCTTTCCTCGGGAGGTGTCGACGACTCGCGGGGGCAGGTTGGGTGTCCTGGGGGATCCTCTTCCACGGCTCGCCGATGGTCTCCGACTTGCCTCTGTCATCACAGAACGGTCTCCCTCTCCGCGATCTCCGTTCTGTTCTGCTTCTCGTCGATGATCCTGGGACGTAGAAAAATTACCGATTAGCCGGAGCCAAGTACTAGACCCTACGAGAAGGGCGAGGATCATGCCTGGGTAGGAGTCCTTGATTTTAAAATTACAAATCGGTACCTGTAAATCTCCGTAGGCAGGAACCTCTCGTCGTACTCCGTGCAGACCACGTGGTTCCTCGTCATGTCTCTAGGCCTGGCCACCTCCACCGCGTCGACGTACCTGTACCGATACAAGCAAACTATCAGCTCCATGAGCCCAATAAATAATATCTAGACATTAAGTCATTCCCAAATATCCTTGACCAACCGGCAAGGGTTCACGGTTAAGTCATGCCATGCAGTACCGACCTACCCCAACGAGAAATCCCGTGACCAGGTGTGCGGCCGATTGTCTGGTGGAGTTACCTGGTCTCTGAGGTAGCAGTTGGAGGTCGATCTCTTTTTTACCTAGATTTCAAGTCGCGGTTGGAACTTACGAGTCAAAGTACGGCGGCAACGGATGTGGAGACTCCACGGCGAGAGGTTTGGGGCGTTGATCCGAGGTCGGGAAGCACCCTCGCCACCAGCGAGGATTAGGTCGGATCCTCCTTGAAAAAAGTCCACGAGGATTTTCGAGGCCTCCAAGGACCCCGGGGGTCCCCTCGAGGCTCGTCGTTTCGAGCACCCCGAACAGCCGTAACGAAGACGGTCGTCGGGAGAAATTATCGCGACGGAGACGAGAAAGGCACGAAAGAAAGGAAGGACCTGCCAGGATCAAGCGGTCGCTCTCTCATATCCCCCTCTTCCTGGCCTAATAAGCGCGGATTATCTCTTTTTCCCTTACGTCTAGGTCGATTCGGCTCCCACCAGCGGACAGCAGACGAGGAGCTTCTTGCGAGCGTGGAAGGAAGAGGCGGACTAAGATTCAACGGTCTTAAGATCGAAAGATCGAAGAGCATGCCGTGCGAGCAAACTTCTCAAAGGTCCTTTCGAACCGAAGGAATTCGAAAACTGCGCCGAAGGTCCTCGTAAAGGGGATTACCGAGGACCTCTCTTGGCATCCTTAAGCAAGAGTGCAACGACCGGCTCGTCCGGGAGTGGTGGTCGTGTAACTACTGTGCAGAGGTAACTACATGCAGTATGAATCGAGGTGGCGACTTCGGCATCGAAAATCAGGCTCGAGGAGACTTCGCCCGGAGGTGGAAGGTAAGAAGCCGAAGAATTAGGAAAGTCCTTTCGTACTTGGGCTGCGCCGGCTTGATGCCGTGAGCCTCCAGGTCCTTCTCCAGCTGACGGATTCTGATCCTCGCCATGTCCAGCTCGTGTTTCACCTTCCACAGGTGGGTGTCGCAAATGGGGTCCCTGCACCTGTGGTGACGCAGGATATCCTGGGCCTCGTAGACGGCTCCACGGAAGGTGAGGGATTTTCCCATGCTCTGGAGAGGAAGATATATCGGTGGGTCCAGGTTCTTCAGGGTCTCCAGGGTAGTAAAATCCATCGGATGCGTTACGTACCAGACTTATCAGCGCACAGCAGCCGCTCCTGTCTCTCTTCGCACAGTGGTGCCTGACGTACTTGAAGTAGAGGTACTCCAGGAGCAAGAAGAGGGCCGCCAGGGCGACGCCGGCGAAGAGAAGGACGAAAGCGCTGAGGAATTGCTCCAAGGCGAGAGGGTCGCTGCTCTTCTGGACCTCTTTCCCGGGTTTACAGGTCCCGGTCATCCAGTAACGCCGTAGGCGTTCCAAGTCACCTGGAAGGAACCGTCGAAAGTCCACGAGTTCGTCTGGTACCGCCTTCTTCGGGAGCCGCGGCATCCTCCAGGACACTGCCCAAGGACTCACCGTTTTCCCGGAAATCCAGTAGCCGTTTGTTGAACATCTGCACGTACTTCGAGTTCCTGGAGAAGGCGAGACCGTAGCCGGTCATGGCGTACCAGGAGCCGACCGTCAGCAGACGGCAATCCTCGTCCTTGGCCACCAGGTAATCCAGCACGGTTCCGTCGTAGATGAAGGCGTCCATCTCCCTGCAAGGGGTCGAGTAAACGAGGAGAAGAAAAAAATGCGACCGCGACGGGGCTTCGAAACAAGCCAGCTGATCGATAGATGCACTTAACCCCAGATTGCGGAACCTTTAGGGGCGCGACGAGGATTACGGGAGAAACGCGATATTTCCGAGGTTACCCGTGACAAGAATTCTCCCAGCGGCTCCTCTAAGCCCGGAGTAAATGATTCTCCGAGGATTTAAGACCCCCGCAAGAACTTGTCCTTGTTGCCCTGGTTCCGCGTCCAGCTGGGGCCAGGACCTAATCCACGGTTTCTCGTTATCCAGGAAATCCAGGATCGCTCACCCGCTTATGACCGCTCCGATGCCCTCGTTGACGCTGCTCTTGTTGTATTTCCTCATGTACGCGTGCATCTCCTTGAAGTACTTGGCCAGGGTGCTATCGGTGTGGCTCCAGGGGATGGTGCCGAACCGGAACATGGGCTTGTGCGAGTAGGGCTTGGCCAGCCGATGGTCGTCCACCCCCGAGAACTCGTGGTACTCCTCCCGGGTGATCATGAAGGCCGCCAGGTTGGCGGTGTAGATGGCCAGGAAGACCACAGCGAACATGGCCCAGACGTTCGTCATGAACCTGCGTTTAGAGAATTATTAATAATAAGTGAGCTCTTTCAATTTTTTTAGAAGTACCCAGAAGGTCGACTTACCTGGCGGTGAACCCTCTGGGGGAGTCAACGTGGACCGCAGCCTGGAAGAGCACTGCCCAGACCAGCCAGTACGTGCGGAATAGGGAAAAGCGGTGGTTCCCCGTGTGGTCCGTCTGTAAGGTCCAGGAAACATGAAGAAAACGAAGAAAAAATAATTCGAAAAAAAAAACTATGACCTACCTTCATGTCGAAGCCGTATGGCGAGAGCCACTCGAAGAGGAAGATCATGAGTGACGCGACCTGGATGGCCACCGCGCCGACCAGCATCCAAGAGGCCGTATCGAACGGCTCTGAAAGCGACGAAAAAAATAAAAATAGGTAGGGAGACCTAGGGTGGCGATGCGAGTCTTCGAAGTGCTCACCTAGAAAGGCAGTGGGCGAGATGATGCCCGTCCTCTTGGCCACGACGATGGCTATACCGGTCTCCATGTAAGGCACCGTGAAGTCGACCACGGCCTCTCGCTCGGAGTTGATCATCAAGGAGGTCAGCACCATATCGGTCTCCCGGTTCACCAGGGCGGCTATGAGGCCGTTCCACTTGCCGTTCTAAGAGAAAAAAGTGGAGTGAACCAGGCGGAGTCGAAATCTTAGAGACCTCGAAGACCCCTCTTCGCCTACCTCCAGGGTGCCCCACTTGCCGTCCTCCACCCTGATGAGCTCGTAGGTGAAGCCCAGCTCCTCGGCGAACTTGACCAGCAGGTCGATGCAGAACCCGCTGCAGCACCTGAAGACGCTCTCGTTCCTGCTGGCCGAGGGGACGTCCACCCTGAAATCCAGAATCGAAATCTAGGATCCGACTTTTGGGGAACTCTCGAGGTGAGTTCACCAAACGGTTGGACCCGGAAACGCCGCCTCGAGAGTTTCGAGATCCAGGACAGGAATTTAACTTCCGGTAGGCGGCGCAGTTATGGCCTGGTTCCGCGTTAAGACCTCGGATTAATTTCCGGCATGGACGAACTGGAGATGCCCACTCGGCACCCCGTGCTGGGAACCGAAATCTGGAGACAGGTGACGTACGCCTCTTCCTGCAGGGAGAGAGAGGGTCCGTCCAACCTTTGGCCATCTTGGAAGATATCCCCTAGAAGGCGCGAGGCCTGATTAAATGTCCTCCACCTGGCAGGGCGCCAGAGCGATCACCGGTGACGCTGCGACCCTCCACCTCTTCACGAAGAATCCACATTCGAGGTAAAATATAAATCTCACCAAATCCCCCCTTCCACCCCGAGGGTTCGGTCCAATGCACTTTTGTTAAACCTCGAGATAATTCCAGAAAGTTTCCTTGTCCAAGTATTTAAACTTATCATGTTTCCATTGAATTCCCGTCGCCGAAGAACTTCGGTGAACCCAGGAAAAGTTCCTGAGGTGGAGATTTCGATCGCGCCGACGGTGAAAATCAAGCCCCTCGAAGTCTGGATCGAGGGGACTCTCCGGGAAGTAAGTACAAACCATACCCCGTCTCCCTCCCTTGGACCCCCGACAAGAGGAGCCCCCGCTTAATTCTTCGAGGTCGCGGAAAAACCTTTCCCATAACTTCACCTCGCACCCTGAAGAGCACCAACTTCAACCCTGGGGACGTCATCCGAAAGCTCACCCCAAGGCAGTAAACGCGAGCAGTCGCGCGACACTTTGCATTAACTTTCCGAAGTACGGACCTTGAAGAGCCCTCGACGCAACAGGTAGCGCCTTCTGTCCACCCTTAATATTTCATTCTTCCGCACCCATGTTTTGTTTCATATTCAGGTGCCAATACATGATTATAATTACCGAAGGAGACTGGAACCACGCCCAATTATCGCATCGGTTTCATCAAGGATGCAGCGGAGTTCCGAGGTCTCTTCAGGGGCTCTTCAGGGTACATTGGGTGATGAGAGAGGCAGGGCAGGAATTGCTGCAAACGATATCACGCGAGGTGGTATCGATCTCTCCTGCATACGAAACATCCTCTAGCGAGCCAAGGGCCACTCGTTTTTACGAAGAGCTTCGTCCTTCGGGATTGCGCACTCGCGCGACCCTCGGTCCACACCCTGCAGGACGAGTCGATTCCTGGGGAGGAATCCTCGAGGATCCGCTTCCTAATTCATACCTCCTGTCCCCTTCTCGCCTTTTTTTTTCGAGTCCCCTGACATTCCAAATCGCGTCGAAAATCGATCTCCAACCCACCCCCGGAGTCGATTTAACCGGATATAAAAATGCGGAGATTTCGAGGACAATTTCCTATTTGTAGATCCAGGATGCGACTCAGCGTTCCGGGATCCGAGGGGACCGGAGGGAGACGTCAAACTCGGAGAAATTCTGATCAGCACTTTGGCGAGCGGGGTACGTCTTCGAGGGGTGTTTTCGTCCTTCGCATCCCTGGGGGATCCATTTCCCCGGGGTGGTAATAAAAAGGTATCCATCGACGGAGTTTCCGCTGGTATCGGGAGGAACTTAAGAGACGCGCGTCCTTTTCCCTCGGTTTAAGCTCAAATAGGATTAAGCCGGCGGAAAGTCTCGATTCGAATTTCCCCCGTTCGTTTCGTTCTAACCAGGAGGTGGACAGAAGGCGAGAGGGGTTGCCCTGGGAAAAAAAGGGAGAGAGTTGACTGGGGTTTAAAAAAATGCGACACGAGGTACCGGAGGACGTCAAAGGACGATAAATGGAGACATGAGGCACCTGGTCGCGATACGGGACCACGGGGTCAGGAAAAGGACTTTGCAGGACGTCGTTTGGACTCTAAACCGAAGTCAAGGGACGGGGGTCCTCGGAAAGAGCATTAAAGTCGTCCTTCCGAGTTAGTAGGTCCCGACTGTAAAACGAGGCGGCGCGTCCTCGGAGTTCCTCGCGTCGTTCCGCTCTCGAGACACTTTTACGGCTCGAATCGGCGGGAGCGGTTAACCCGCCTCCAGGTTCGCTTCCTTTTCGGGGTAAATCGACCGCGAGGGCGGCATTTCCGGTCCCAGGAGCCCGGAATTCCGTCGCGGCCCTCAGGAACTCCGAATTCCTCTTATCCGACATGCCGGGACTTTTCGAAGTCCTCGCTCCTCCTTTCCCGCGGGATCCTCTCGACGGTCTCCCGAGTTTCCCGTAATTTTCGAAAGGCATTACTCCGGCGACGGTAGGGAAATTTCGTGCTCGGTTTCGCACCCGCGGTAACCCGATTGCGCGGTGGCGGAACCGCAGGCGGAGCCGCAGCGGCCCTGCAGATCCGCTTTGAGGAAAGCTGGCTCGGCCACTTTCCTCCCCTTATTTATAGGGTCGCCTTCTGTTCCCGATCCCGTGTCCTCCGCCGCGGAATCCCCGGCTCGCCGCTTCCGGATTCTCTCCGCGCGGTTTCGCTCCTTCCCTGGCGACCCGCGAGTCGCTTAATTCCATTGTCCGCCGGAAAGTTTCTCCGGGTTCTCCCGGATCCGCTTAACGGCGAAAGGTTCGGTTCGGCTCGGTACTTCCGTTTTCCTCGGTCGCGCCTCGTTTCCGACACCGTCTTTCCCCGGATCCCGAAGGAAGAGAAACCCCTCCGACGGACAAAAGGAACGGACGGTGCGGAAAGTCTTACGCGGATCCGCCATTGTCGACGCGGCAGGCGTAATCATTCCCAGGGACGGCACCCCTGTTATCGTTACTCCTGGAGTTTCGGATCTCGTTATTTCTTCCTTCCGGTCCCATTATCTCCAAGATTTTTTTCATTCCCGTCGAATCGTCTCCTTATTCCTTGACCCGAGGATAACACTCTTTAATGCAATTCATTTCGAATCTCTCGATTGCGTCGAGGCATCTTTTTCATACTTTCGTGTATCTTAATGTACCGAGGATATCGAAGTTGCGTCTTTGGGTTTTCAATTCCCTGGCGCATCCTTTATGGACTTCTTCTTTTTTATCCTCGAGATTATTTCCCCGAGGTTAATTCCCATCGATGCATCCTTCGCGGAGGTGTCTCGGAATTTTTCCTGCCATCCGTTAGCAATCTCCCGAGCAATATACGCGGCGCGTCCTCGAGGGGATTCAGGATATAGAAATCCTGGACACAAAGGCGACTTCGTCCTGGCGAAATTTAGTGGCACTCGAAACCGGAGCCTCGGAGGGAATATAATTCCCCTTCGAAGCCCGATCGGGCTCCGATTCGTCGCACCTTTTCTCGGCCTCAGGTGAACGCACGCGTGTCCTGGAATCGTACCCCAGGATATCCCGGAAGGAGGAGAGTCCTTGCGAAGGCACGTCCCCTTCCGGATAAATATTCGCCCCGTGGACTCGCTGCATCGATTCGCGCTCGGGTTTCGCGTCGTATAGAAACCACCCCGAAGGGGAGGCCGTAAACGGAGACCCCCCAAGTGGACCGGAAGTGATTTTTCAGAGAACCCCTTCGCGCCTCCCGGAGACCTCGAAGGGTTCCTTTCGATTATCGAACCCCGAGCTTGCCCTGCCGGTTTTCCGTCGATTTTTATCCTTCTCGTTTAATCATTCCCCGAAAGGAGTTCACGGGGTGGAATCAACCCCTGGAGTGAACGGCGGACCGCGTTTCCGATAATCTCCTCCCATTCTATCCCGGATCCCTCGGAATCCGGTATTCCGGCTGAAAAAGGACGCGAATCTGGACACCGGGCTAATAAACACTGATTTGGAGGGCGTCGGGGTGGAGGCCGACGTCCAGGTTGGCGGGATGGTCTTCCCCCCTGGCGAGTGCGCTGACATTAATTCCAATTTACTCCGGCGCAGACGTAACCGGGATTTCAGGGCCCTCCGAGAAGCTGAAAGCTCGCCGTTCATTCGATCCGTGGGTAATATAGCGAAATGGAGAAATACCCTAGGTGGGCCGTCCATTTTCCCGAAAGAGTCGCCCTTACGAAGGGGTGGTCTTCGCGGTCTTCGGGGGAAGCTCGATAAGGACGCATCCTCGAGAGAAATCCTTGTTTTTGCGAAACCGGCGAGGGCGTCGCGCTCTCGAAAGTCGAGACCAAAAGTTCGAGGGGGGTCCCGGTCTAGGGGGTTGACGAGGCGGGCCCTCGAGGGCGCAAACCGAGGCCGGCGCAACTCTACGCGTAATGTCGGGGGCGGAGACGCCGCACGACTACCTCTCGGAATTGAATTTCCTCCCGGAATGCCACTCGGCTCGCAGTCTTGCAATTTACCTCGCGTCGACCTCCTAAGTTCCGCCTCTTTCGCGCCCCCGGCGAGATTAGCGAGTTTCAAGGGGCGCGGCATCCTCGAAATTCCAGTCCCAAGATCCCTAAAATCCACGGATTCGCAGGATTCGAGGATTCAAAGGATTCGCGCGATTCGGGGGATTCAAGGATTCAAGGGATTCGAGGGGTTCAAGGGATTCACGGGGCAAACCTAGGGTCGTTCATCGGATTCGAGCATCGGTGGAATACACGAGATTCCTGGAAATTCGCGTTATTCCAGGAATTGTTCCGGAAGGGAGTCACAAGGACTTCCCTTTCGCTCTTTCCCTTTCACGGAACTCGGTCATGCACCGAAACTTTGCCGGCCATAATTCCTGAGGGCATGGCACGCGCTCATTGAAGTCCGGAGCACACCTGCGAAGGTGAAGAACCTCCTAGGTGAGAGGTGGGAAAAAAAATAAGGTCCACTTACGAGACGTTGAAGGGGCCCTTGGCGACCCTGCAGAGAACCCCTCGGTCCATCAGGCACTTTCCACTTATGGGGTCTGGAGGTGCCAGGTTAATGTAGGGCGGCTCTTCCAGGAAGGTGATCCTCAGGTGGAACTTCTCCGGCACCCCTTGGGGCGGTGTATGGGAATTCCCTGGCCAAACTATGTCCTTGATGTCCAGACCCTCCTTCTGCCAGGACTTCCACACCCCGATCTGAAAGCCAATATCAGACACCTGTTTATGAAAATGGTCAAACAAACGCTGTAAAAAATGTTATAAAAAATCGTGAAAATGTCAGAGGGGGGAATTCGGAGGGGCCGATTTTTCGCGAGATTACCCGGACCCGTGAAAGTCCCGGAAACAAGTCTCGGTGGAAGGGGAAATGAGCGATCGGTTTTCCGGGTGAAAAAGTGCGGCTCCTTTGTGACATCCCTTGTGTCGGCGCGACCGGGCCGGGCTTCCGTCGAAACAAAGCTCGCTCGAAAGCTCAGGGCGGTCCTTTGTCGAGGAATGAATTTTCATGGGACATATCGCGGCCGATGCCGGAAGCTAATATCGACTTCCGGCCCGCGAGTGGCAAAGAGAGCCGATCCCGAAAAGGAGGGCCGAGCGGCGCCAAAGGGCAGTCGCGGTTTGCATATTCAGAGCACGACCTCGCCCCCTTGGAGGACCTTACAGACCACCCAAGGACCTCCCAGGATTACCGTCCCACCCAGTCGTCACTCCCTGATCCGTCAAAATTGCTGTCCCTCGCCCCACCCCTCTAAACGCCAGGACCTTCGCAAATATTCGCTCTCAGTCCTCGCAGAAATTCTCTTCAAAAAAAAAAAAAAAAAGAATTAGCCAAGGAGAAAATCTCTCGGGTTCCAAGGAGAAGATTTAGCGGGATAAATAATAAACGCATAATGGCATTTGTCGAGCATGGGTCGCTCGCAAAGGATCCCGGTCCCCTTCGTTCTTCCGAATTCCGGGCGCGACCCGAGTCCTGGCCCGGCGCCCAGAAAAAAAAAGAAGGACGAGGGATCTCGGCTTAAGGAGGCGTAAAATACGTATAGAACATTTTAAGGACCCGCCCAGGGTGTGCCCGACGTCCTCGGGCTGAGAAAGGATCCTCGACGAGGTCCTTTTACGAGCTCTAAAGACCGCTCTGGCTCCGATCCGTTTGCCGGGTTGACCCCCGATAAAAGGAGTCGCATTTTCCCCTCGTTAAGGCGACATTCGACCTCTCTCCCTTCGGGCAACCTCGGGCTATCGAAAACCCGAGGAAAATGGGCCGGAGGTCCTTCGACGTCCACGTGCCTCGGGGGGAGGAAAGGACGTGGACATTTTCCAGAGGGTGCAGGGACCGGGAAATCGCGATGCACCCCTTTCTCGCCTATTCCGGGCATCCGGGTAATTAGGTTATCCTAGGTCAAGGAGAGCCGACATCGGACATTCCGAAACGCTCCGGAACGCTTCGAAACGTCCTGCACCCTCCCTTACGGTGTCGCACGCGTCCTGCCTCCCAACTACCCCCTTGCGCCTCCGAAATCCCATTTCTCTTTCGAAAATACAGGAATTCCAGGATTCCCGGGAAAACTCGTAACTCTGTCCCCTCGAAGCGCGCTGGAAAGCAAATCACCTATTTTCCGGCCACAGTGATGCGTTTATTTTTTTTCCCCCCCCACATTTTTTACACCTCCCAATATTTTCAGTTCCGCCATTCCACGTTTTCTGTCGGACGATCACCTGACAAACGCTCGTTGAAATTTTTTTCCCAGCCGCATGATTTTTCTTTTTCTTTCGTGCGCGATCATTTTCCGACAGTTCATAAGAGCGACGTGGAAATTGAAAATGAATTCCTAGGCGTTCGATGAGTCGGTCTCTTTTTTCTTCTATCCCGAAAATTGATTTCCCCTTGAAATATTTTCGCTTTTAATTCTGTTTTCCGACCGAGGAATATTCGGTGAAATTTTTCCTATGTTCCCGGGAAAAGGGCGACTCTTTCCGCGGACGGCGGTGATTCCTGAGAACATTTCCGGGAGGGACGTGCAAATTAATGACGTCGTCTCGTTTTGCACCGCGTCGTACGTCACGGGCTAACCAAGGACGACGTTCCCGGACATTTGTCACCGATCCTGGGACGGCTAAATGAATCTCGTCCCCGTGGATGACGGATGGCCGGGCGGCCCTGGCAGTTTTCGCCAGAACCGCCGACAAGAAATTGGGCGAACCGGCAGGCCAATCGAACGGATCCAATAGCCAATTATAGGTTTCCGGGCCGGAACCTCGATTCGTCCCGAATCCGAATTGGCGCGTCTTCGTCAAGGACTCGTTACCTCCCGGAAACGGTGTATCTGACCTTTTAAGATAAGCTAATTAAAATAAAATAATTCCTGACCTTTTAAAATAAGCTAATTAAAATCAAAAATAATCTTAGTACAGAATTATCGGGAGAATTTCGAGCCGTGGATTGCATTTGGAGGTGACAAGAGCCGAGTCCTCGATTATCCGATCGGCCGGGCGAGATGGGCGATCGGCGGAAACGTTGGCTGCTCGGCCTATTAATCGCGTTACTTACGCTTCCGGAACTCGAACCCGGATTACACGGTTAATCGAGGGCTTTACCGGGTTATAAATCAACGATTTGGCTGGTCGCTTTGACCGATTAGACGAATTATGAGCAGGACTCGAGGCGACGCGACTCGGGAAGAGAACCACCCTCGGGTGGCCTCCGCTAGGTTTGGTTATGTATTCCTGCAAGCAGGAGCCGCTTACCCCGGTAATCCCTGTATTCCCGATATTCCCAATATTCCCCCCACTCCCCCGAGAAAGGAGAATCGCACCTCGGGCCGCGATAAAGGCCGGCATTAAACGCAGCAATTATCGAAATTACTTATCGACGCGCCAAGGGACTCCAAGATGGCCTCGGAACAGTGGCGAGAGATAAGAAAGGGTAAAAGAAATTGAGAAAAATCATCCCGAGGGAGAGGAACGAATCCGTGCATCCTGGCTCGGTATTTCCCGGGTAAAGGCATCCGGTAATTAAAATCGATAGGTGGTTGTATCGATTCGCCGTAGCGCGATGTGAGAAATTCTCAAGGGTGGAGGAAATCCCTCGGGAATTAAACTCTGGAATTTCGGTGGGCTCTGGAGTGCGGCCATTCCGCGGGCCGGGAAGGACACCGCGCACGGGTTTCCGAACTCGACGTCCGGTTAATCCCGAGGGAAGAGAGGAGGTCCCGGGTTGATCGGGATGCCTCGGCGTTTCCAGAGGACAACGAGCCGAGACTCGGGGATTAAAAAGAATAATTGGTCCCTCGGGACTCCGGGCCGATGTACCGGGAGACCTCGAAGAAAGGGACGAATTACCGGGAACAATGGGACCCTTAATTCCTGGTCGCTATTAGGCCCTGAGAGTGATTACTCGCGTAGAAAGGATTACGCGATCGCGTTGAAAGGCCCCTCCACGTGGCGAAGAGAGATCCCTAAAATTAGCGCTCACTTCCGGGGAATTTTTTATGGGGATAATGGAGTGCCAGAGACGAGAGAAGCTCTCGGGCATTATCGACGGCGGCGAGAAATCGATCCCCCGTATCGGATCTGGAGTAATTTCCCGGGGATCGTCCAGCCACCCGAGGGTGGATACGGATGGTCACACCATCTCGATACCATGTAGATGGTATCTCGATACGTATCGATACCATCGATAAATCCCCGCCGAGCTCGAAAATCCAGCCCATTCCCGAAAGGACGCGAAAGGAGGGCAAAGTACAGGGAAATGGCTCCTGGAATTCATTTATCCACCTCGCCCCTCTTCCCGTTCTCCCCCCGTCTATCTGGCCATCCATCGATCCATCTATCCGCCCTGTGTATTTGATTCTCGAATTAATCGAGTCCCTTGATTACCGAGCGATCCCATTTCGCGGGATCCAATTGTCACGGCAGCCTGCAGAAGTCCGGATGGAAATATTCCCTGGACTCGATTAAGTGGAGGGTCCTGAAGGAGGGTTTGTCCTTCGGCATCGAGAGGTCCGGTTCGATTAGAGACTCGCAGTTCGAGGCACGAGAGCGAAATAAACGACCGCGGGAAGAGGGACGGGTCCCCGAGGGGTAGTCGCTCTTCATGGTGCTCTTCGTGGAGCTCTTCATGGCTCACCTCCTCCCAGACGAGCTGCTGGCTGACCCCGGGTCGCAGGTTCATGATCTTCAGCTCGGCCGCCTTCAGCACCCCGTCTTGCGTGAACTCCACGTTCGGCTTCCCCTGGTCCCCCTCCACGGAAACGTTCTTCAGGTACCTGGACATATAAATAATTTCTTAAAGTTCATGAAATAATTAAAAGTGATCAGGGAAAATAATCGACCGATGCCCGGCTTCGCTTTACGTTGGACGTGGTGCACGTGCTTAGGTAGACCCCCGTGTAAAAAATTCGAGAAAGGCAGGAAAAGGACCACCGTACTTGAAGAAGCGGTCCCCGGTGTTCCAGCGGGACTCGCCGTCGCCCTTGCAGCTGAGCTGCGTGTTCAGGCTGTAGTTCCGATTCCTGGGGTCCTTGATGAAGTCCTCGACCCCATAGGCGTACACCTTGATTGCCGTGGAGATCTCGTTGACCAGGCTGGCGCTGCTCGTGTCGAAGTGCACGCCTGTCGAGGAACCAGGGGGTGGTTAAGTCGTTTTGGGGGCGGATTCGGCCAAGTTCCGAGTGTCGGAGCTCGGATCTCTCCGAAGAGGTCATTTCCATGGACAGCCCCAACCGGGACCGGAGTTAGGAACGAAATTATCAGCGGACCACCGACGAGCCAGGACTCCCTTTAAGTCGCCCGGCTTAGGGAGGTCCTCGACACGGTCCTCCTGGCTTTCCAGAACTTGCGGTAACTGGAATCGATGGTCCCTCGGAGGCTCGAATTGGATCGAATGCCGACGGGAATACGTTTACGAGCTCCCTGCACTTGGTACTTGGCCGGTACTCGCGCTTACTCCCGACAAGGTTCGGTCGGCCGCGAAACCCGAGACATTTCGTTCCATAAACCCTCCGAGAGAATTTTTTCTACAGGGAATTTCCCTGGGGATGATTCCGCGCCCAGGTAAAATCCCTGAGAAAATTGCAATAAGTAACCCAGGGTCGAATAATTTAATAATGATACGTGCTCGTCGCGAGCATCCCATTTTTCGGAAGATCGCTCTCACCCAGCATCCCGACCGGGAACTGCGCCGGAGATTGGAGGTTCTCGATGACGCTCTGCGTGACGACCCAGACATAATTCTCGCCGGTGATGTGGAGGTCCCTGGCTGCCGTCAGGATGTGAATAGCCTCCTCTCTGGTCGCGTAGAGCAGCATGACCCGCGACTCGCTGTTCACCAGCTGAACCAGGTCGTGGGGCTTGGTCACCAGGACGGCGTTCAGGATGGTGAACTTGAAGGTGTCCTGCATGTCGGAGATGCCCTCTCTCACGGCCTGGATGAAGTCGTCGTGCCCGGCTATCTGGGACGTCACCACGCTGAACTGGTGCCACTTGTACCGCTCGAGGATGCTCAGCATCGCCGCCGTCTGGTGCTCCAGGGAGGGTGCCAGCTGCAGCTGCAGGCTGCTTTGCGAGGCCCTCTTCGGGGAAAAGGAAATCGCTCGATTAGTAGGGGGCTAACTTTGCGAGAACACGGAAGGATGGTCCCAGAGGCCACCCTGTCGCCGCCACCCCAAAGACGAACCCTATATATAGAAAAGCACCCTCGCAGCCTTCGAGTCCTTGAAACGGAGACCCAAAACCTCCCTCGAAAACCACCCCAACTACTGTTGCCCGTTTCGGCCCTCTCATTCCACTTGGCAATTCGTTCGGCTAATCCAGCCGAGCCGGGCCAAGGGTTGCGGAGAGTTCGATCGATATCGGCAGCACCGGCCGTGTCTATTCATGGTACTGGCTCTCTTCTCGAGCGTCCTCTTTATTTATGGTGGTATCCGAAGGGAGAATACATTTCGCAGTAGCGGCAAATAGAAAACTACCCCCTCGGCTCCTCGATGTCACGCCTCTCCGGCGACGAAGGGGTGGAAAGACGCAGCGGATGCCCGGGAACTTGTGGACGTCCTCTCGAGCCGTTATACCCCGTTTCCTTTCTCGATTCTACTTTTGCGCGAGCGTCTGCCAACTTCTCGCTCGAACACTCGAGGTTCACCCGCTGAAGTCGCGTCCCAGATCGACTCTCCCCCCGGTGGAGGTTTTCGGGATGCAGAGAGAAGCGTAAGGACAACCTCGCGATCCACTGCACGAGGCTAATTACGCCCTCGAGAGGACCGTCGCCCCTTTTGTTCCCCTCGCCGAAAAATGCCGAACAGTTACTCACCCTTTCCAGGCCGGAATTGTCGGCATTCCAGGCGATCACAGGAATTCCGAGGTACCCAGCCAGCTGCAGGAAATACTGGGCACTGGCCGTGCTACGTCCATACTGCTCGTAGTTCATCAGGTACAAGATGGCCGACACGTTGACCAGCAGGAATTCTTGGCACAGGGAGTTCAGGATGGCTGCGAAAACGAGTGAGCATTCCCTCGAGAGGTTGTTTGAAAAAAACCGGAATAAAAAATCGGCATCCCTCGAGCCCCGCCGAATTCCCCCAGAGAGGGCAGACATAATCCCTTAACATCCTCCAGGGTATATGAATTATTTCCCACTCTTAAATGTTTAATTAAATTCCCTAGCGGTTCTAAAGTGCACCCCGCACTTGTGCATATTCAAGAAGCACTGTACCGCAAGTACGCCGTTTTTCGGGGCCCCTCCACCTGGGTGTTAATCCGGGGATTTTAAAATGGCACCTGAATTCATTTCCACCTAAGGGTTTATCGGAATCCCCAGGTAACTCCAAAATGCCCCGCGGCTGCAATTTCAAAAGCGTCGAATTTGCGTGGCAAGGGCGACGCTTTCCGGATCATCTCACCCGGGGTGTTAAAACGGATTTCGGGGCGAGTCATTTATTCTACCCACCGGTGGCATAACCGCGATAAGTACTCGACTCGCCCCGAGAGCTTTTGCATAGATACTCGCACCGCAAACCGCTTCACGATCGGTACCCGGGAATTCGCGGCGGAATCCACCCCGTAGTGTTTGCCCAACGCCGGATAAATATTTCCCCTCGGCAGACTCGGGGAAACGTGTCCCCTCGATTTAACACAGTTGATAGGGTACGAGGAAGAGGGAACAGAGGGGCAGAGGGAGGGAGGAAAAAATATGCCGATTTTTCCAGGAGCCGCGTCCATCCGTCGTTATTAAATTTGTATCCACTCGGTCCCGTCCTGCCCGAAAGGGGAGGCAAACGGAGGTTTGCCATCTCCATTTCCCCTGGACCGGCAATTAAAAGGCAATTAGAATCTCCAAGCGTAATGCCACCCTGATTAAAGAGCGCCCTGGTCATCCTTTGTCAGGACTTCCCGACACGAAGAGGCCTCCTTTGCTCTTTTCCCCCGCGAATTGAGTCCCTCTCTCGATGCCCCCCGGTAATTAAATCTGCAACCGATCGATAACGTCAGATAAGGCCGATCGATCCCCATCGGCCTTGTCGCGACAACCCTTGTGGATCGATCAACGGCGCCGATTAGAGGACCACCTTATCAACGAGTCGGGTGGCCATTATTCAATTCGCGAGGGGATTAATCGGGCCGATAGCAGGTCGATCGATGGCCATTGGAAGGATTAATAATCCCGGGCGAGAAATCGAGGGAGTAATTAAATCCTCTTTTGTTTTTCCTCCACCTCGATCTGGGTTACCTGTCGGACTGGGCGTCAGTTCCATCATGACGCTCCTGACCTGCCGCTGCGTGAACTGGTACTTCTCCAGGAAGGAGAACTTGGGGTGGCCCCTGGGTTTCCGAAGAGCACCCACCGCCCTGTTGATCCCCTTCACGTATTCGCGCACCTCGAAGTTGGTGTGCGGCACGATAAGGCCGACGGTCAGCTGATGCTGCGGCTCGGAGGGCGCGGCCGGGCCGGGCGTCGCGACGCGGCCGTCGCGGAGCGTCCACGCGGCTGCGCCGCCTAGGCCCAGGAAGAGGACCACCGTCGACACGAGCATCCTCGTCGGCGATCCCGTCGACCCGACGAAACCCATCTCCTCGACGCTAACTCCTATAGCAGGCGTCTCTCGAACACCCCCAGGACCTCGCCCCTGCGGCCGTCATCCCCGACGCGGATTTTCTCGGCATAGCCTCGAGTCACTTTCCTTCCTCAAGAGCGATTCTCAGCTTTCGAGGGATTTCTGGGAGCGAGAGAAAATTAGGAACGGGGTTGGGGGCCAATGGGAAGGGTTGGATTTAGCTTCGGGGTGGTTTTTTAAGGCCCAGGGACAATTAGAAACAGCCGACGCAGGGCGAATCTCCTCCCTGTCGATCTTATCTGACCTGACCTGACTTATCGACGCGATTTTCGAGCAAATCCTGGGACTGGGAAATCCAGGTGATAACGCGATAAGACCGGTGCCGGGTCCTCGACGCCGTCGCTCTTTTTAGGGCTTTTACAGGTGACAGCGAAAAAGCAGACGGCCCATCCGTCTCTCGCGCGCCTCGCGGTTATTCCAATAGGACCGATAAAGCACGCGGTAATCGCCTCCGGTAATTGAACCCGGCCGATAATTCGAGCCGAGGCCGAGCCCGTCGAGCGCTCCAATTACGGAGAAATTCGGGCAAACCCACGCGGAATAATCCCCCTCGATAGGGCCGCCGAATTTATTTTTGTATCCTCGGAATGGCGGCTCCAAGGGCGCCGTCTCCGACGGAAGGGATTCCCGAGGTAGCTAATCGGGTGGTAACCTCGGGTTATAGTAATCCGCGGGCAAATGAAATTCTTCGGCCAGGAATTCCAATTTAAGCGGTCCGACTTCGAGTGCCGGCCGAAGGACTCGCACTAGGCGGTAAATCTCCGCTGCGTGCACCTCGAGCCCCGGAAGCGGAGAGCTATGAATTAAGGGCGGATTAAAGGGAGGAAACGCGCTCGTAATTCGAGTCCGTCCCCGAGCAATCTACCCCGGAGTGTTTTCTCCAATTAGAGGGCGACTTTCGTCGGCGGCCGAGGAATGAGAGACGACCTCGCGTCGTGGATAAAGTAAAAAAGAACCCTTATCTCCTGAATAATGTAACGTAATCCAGTCCAGGGAGATATCGCCCCGATTCCATAAAACCGAGCGAGAAGATATCTCGACTAATTTTCAAAACGAGACCTGAAGTTTCTTCGAGGAGGGGTGGCGTCGTGGATTAAATGAAAAACTCTTCACCCTTGAATATTGGAATATAATCCGATCTATCCGTATCGTCGAGTCGACGTCGCCTCGATTTTATGAAAAAAAAAAAAAATAAAATAAAAACGCATGGGAATGGGAACGGTGACTTTTTTCTTTTTCTAACGAGATATGAAATTCCACCCTCGAGAGGTGGCGAAAAGAGGTGACGTCCGGTGCGCTTAATTCGCGGCCGGAAGTCGCGGGTCTCTCCGGCATCCGCGGAATTCTCGCCTCGATCGGCTAACCGGGACCCCATCCCCTGGGGTCCATCTCGCTCCTTCTTTCCTCCCTTCCTCCGCGGAGGCCCGGCGCCTCGACAAACGCGATTAAGCTCGGCAGCTCGTAACTTAATTGCGGATCAGCGTTCCCGAGATCGAGTTTCGCCAGGCGACGGAGGTAAATCGAATCGATTCTCGATTCGACTCGCCCCATGCGTCGACGGACACGCGGAGAATCGACCGGCCGGGCGAGTCCGTTTCGGGGAAACTCGAATCGAGCCCAACGTGACATTCGAAGTCCCTTCCAAAGGCTCAAAAAAATTCTTAAAAGTTTTTCATAATTTGGAAGAAATTTCAGGCCGACTCTTTGAGACACCTAAATTATTCCGTGGCAATTAAATGTACATAAAACAAACCACCTTCGGTAGTATCGAAAATTTTTATAATGAACGTCGTCGAGTTGAACATTTATCTCCTGCCCGAAGAAATCCTTCAAGGGATACCCTCTAAAAGAAACGAACGAAGGCGAAACTCGACGTCAAGTTCCTAGATGAAAATTCGAGTTGGAGTCCAGATTCGAGTGTAAAGATCGACAGGGAGGAAATTTCCTCCCGGCCGAGCGCCGCGGGGTGGCCCTCGCCACACCCTTCACTCGCGGCGCGCCAGGCGCCGCGGCGCCACGTGGCCGCCCCTCCCTGCGCCCCGCGGCGCATCGGCAGCACCCCTCCTAGCTTCTAGCTTAAGCAAACGAGATGCCCCCTCCCGCGAGAGGGCCACCCTTTAGCGAGCATCGCGCCCACGTCCCTCGACTAACTTTCCCCCCAGGAGGGAGGGCAGGTACCTCGAGGTCCTCCGCCGCGGAAATCGGGAGGCTAGAGTCCCGTCGCTCTTCCTGGACTCTCCTCCGAGCACGAGGGAATTCCTGGCCGAGGTCGAGTTTTCCTCTGGTCTCTGGTAAGCGGAAAACGCTCGAAATCCTGGAAATCCTGGAAATTCTGGAAATTCTTGAACACTTCGAGGTCGGAGAAATCCCGCGCACCAGGTCGCGGTTCCCGGGGCAGGTAAGGTAGGAAAGTGTCCCCGAGGACCCGATCGACATCGTCCGGGGGACGATCGAGCCTAGATCCCGGGGAGGGCAGGTGCGCCTGCGCCGAGGGTCGCGATTCAGCGTCGCGGGGGGGCGCGGGGGGCATCGCCGGCCCCCGCTCGGGCCCGGGTCCGACACTCGCGTCGCGAACTCGAGGACGGCGCGAACTCGCGGACACCGCCCAGCTGACGCGGGTGGCCGTCTCCTCCGCTGGCGAGGGTGTGCCACGCCAGGCCGCCGCGTGGGCGCGGGCGACGCCGACGCACCGAGCGCGAGAGCGTCGCCATGGCAACCCGCCCTGCGTCGCCCCGAGGGAAGGGGCGAAGGGACGACGAGGCTCGATACTCGACTCGATCCTCGACCAGATATTCGGGCTCGAACTCGACTCGAGCTCGACTCGAGCTCGACTCGAGCCCGACTCGCCCCCGTCTCGGAAACGGGAGCGCCGGGCGTCGCGACGCGTCGCGCCCCCCGAGACCGCGGCGACTCGGGCGATCGATACCCGCCCCGAGGACGCGACCGGCGTCCTCGCCGAGGTCCCGGAGCGCAAGGCCGAATTTTGATCCCCCCGACCTCCCCCCGGAGGCGGCTCGATCTCGAGCCGCGGCGTGCGCGCGGCTTCGACGCGAGATCGGCGGCGCCGGCGTCGACGCGTCGCCCCGCGTAAACTCGAGCACTCGGCAAGGGCGAAACTCGGAATAGGACCTCGGGGAGGAGCATCGCCGATTATTGGCCCTATGAAGATCTCCCCGGTTTACGAGCCCGCCGTTCCTTGATCGTCCGCAACGGGGTCGGGACCCCGAAGAGGGGGCGGCGAAACCCGACCGTCGCTTTTGTCGCCGGGATTTTAAATTCAGGAAATTAAAGTGGAAGAAGAATGGCGGGAACTACCCCGAAGGTATTTTTTTACACGATTTTCAGCGTTTGAAGAAAATTCACCGCAGGGGAAAGAAATTCAGGGAGTCATCCGGATTTAACCGATGACGCGATAAGGATGAACTCGGTTTAACTGCACGGATTACGGATGGACGATTTATTGTATCTCCTGGAGAAAGGTTTAGCCTCTTTTACGACGGATGCTGGGATGCTGGGAGGTGGTCTCCGAGATCGGCGGCCCTTACGATCCGATATATCGGGCGGAGATCAAGGCCAATCGCGGATGTGTTAAGGCGTCCATCGGCGAGAGAGATGTCGCCCTTTAAATCGCTCTTAAAATGGCCGTCGGAGGAGGATATAGGCATATATGACGTCGTTCCGGCCTAATCGCCGCCTCGGTCGGGGAGATCGAACGCGCTTTACGGCCGAACGGGGGTAATAAGTCCCGCCAATCGGAAAACAATCGCCGAGGTTTGCGGAAAACGCCCGATAGGAAGCGCCAACCTGGGGACATCGTCTCGGGATTACCAGGATTTACCCTGGGCGCGGAACGACCGCGCTCGCTGGAATACCGTGAGATACCGTCAACTACGGGGAGCTACCCTGAGCTGCCCTGAAATACCGTGAAACACCCCCTAAAATGGGGAAACACTCGGGGTGCATATACCTTCCGCGCGGACCGACCATACTCGAAATGCCCTGAAATACCCTACATTACCCTAAAATACCTTCAAGTACTCTAAAACAGCATGTATTATCCTGAAATACCCTGAACTGCCCTGAAATACCCTGAAACACCCCCTAAAACGGGAAAACTCGTGGTCTACATACCCTCCGCGCGGACCGAACGTACTTGGAATACCCTGAAATATCCTGAATTACCCTGAAATACCACAGGAATTATTCCGCGATATCCTGAACATCCGGAAACCCTAAACTACCCCGCAACACCGTAAATATCTAAATTACCCCGAGAAACCCGAAAACCCCCTGAAACCAAAAACGCGCAGGTCATGTACCTTCCACGTTTGGTCCGACCCAACACCCGCGTATTCGGCCGATTATTTTATTTCACCCCCTCTTTCATTCCCGGCCGACCCGGGCTGGAAATCGGGGATGCTGGATCCTGGAAATCGGATCTCGGTGCGCTTTGCCGGCCTCGCGGATTCCATTTGGCAAAACGGCCGGAAACCGCCGCTCGGTCGTCGAGGCCCGCGGGTCGAAATTCCTCCCCTGAATCGCGGGGGTTGCGACGTGACAATCTTTTGGATGTAAAGACCGGGGAGGGGTAAAAAAGGAAAATCCCAATCTCGCCGGACCTATCGCGATCGATCACTGCGATT